CATTTTTGCACAATTTTCCTCTTTCCCTCTTTTCCTGCCTTACCCCACCCTCCTCCCCACAGATGATTCTCCTGTCTCATGGAGGTAAAATTACGCTAGATTAACTAGAAAAAAAGCATCTCTAATGTGCTTCTTTTTTTATTAGCATGGGCTTTCGTGGTCGAGCAATGATGGCGCATGTTGGACGATATTCCACACGAATGGGTGGCTCATTTGCTGTATTTATGATGGTTGCGCAGGGTTTGCGTTGCTAGCACTGTTTTGGAACAATTGTTGCTGTAGTGGCCTGCTTCTGTGATACTTCCAACTTATCGTATTTTAGTTTTGTTGCCTGTTTTACAATGGCGAACTAGCAGGACCCGTACAAAGCTGATTTATGTCTGATGATGGCGTAAACTGACTTAAAGTGCTTATATCGAAGTGCAAGTGCCTGTTATTCTAATCGTTAACAGAACATGACTCAAAGAATAAAGTATCCGGAAAGACTGATGGTGGGAAGACCCCCTCCCTCTTACCTGCTCCCTCCTCCGTTGCTCCCGCCCTCCTCGGCTTTTTCACGTAAAAAGGGCTTCTTCGGGATAATTGTTGAGAGCTTTTGTTTTTCTGAAAATTTTTATTCAAATTTTACCAAGCCAGCCGATAAGTTTCAGATGTCTTCGAATGCTCAATTTGATGAAACAGTAGTGCAAAACATTGTTTTGAAAAGCATTTTTAATGCAAAACTATCCTGCATTTAAAATTTAGTGATTAATTATTGTTACTTGAATTAGCTCAGAATTGTGAATGTTATTGAACGAGGTGCAATTAGCTAGTTTTGTTTGAAATTCAGCCTCTTAACGCTATAAATGGCTTTTTCAATTGCTTTGATGTTTTTTGCGTATCTGAAGAAATTTATACATTGCAAAGTTATGAGCATCATGAGAAAAACGAACATGTTGTAAGCAAGTGATGGGTGCTTTTTTTGTAATTTTCTGCGAAAATTCAAGGAAAATCTTTTTAAAAATCTCGCATTTTCTCAAAAATGACTTTTTTTTAAAGATTTTGGGTAAACTATTGCATATTTATTGACGATTTCTTCGCCTTAGTTATGAGAAAGGTATAATTTAAAGTGTCTAGTGACTTCGTCGAATTTTTATTTTGTACCTGCGTTTTCTGATAAATTTTGTTATCTGTAGCTTACTGGGCAATTACTGAAAACAATCTGCCGGCTATAACTTTTTGTGTGTGTGTGTGTGTGTGTGTGTATATGTGTCTATGTTTGTGTATATGTGTATATATGTGCGTGTGTATATATGTGTGAGTATATGTGTATGTATGTGTGAGTATATGTGTATGTATGTGTATATATATATATATATGTGTGTGTGTGTGTGTGCGTGTGTGTGTGTGACTTCCTCGTCGTTGATCTAGTTGGGGTTTAACTGCTAGTATGATCACTAGGAGACTCGCCAAATGTCATTCCATGTGCTGCTCTCTTCGTTGCACGTTTTTTCAAAAAAAAGAAACAGGTTGGGATTTAAAAAGTTTGTTATTCAATCACATGAACGAGCAGGTCGACAGCAGATTAATATACGAAAAATCATTGACGACACGCACTAGGTGGTCCGTGCGACCATGCGTTTTCGCTGCATTTCATACTGTATTAAAATCGCTCGGAATCATAATAACTAGAATTTTTGACATACTGGTCCTTGAAATTCAGGGAGGTAATTGTATACTACCATTTTTTTGTGGTGCTTGAAAAGGGAGTTCTATTAAAATTTCAGCTTTCCAGCATTTCTGGTTCACGAGCTAGCGATTTCCCCCCAGAAAATTCCCACGGAGCCGTACGCGAGAGCCACGCACACTGGGTGTTGAATTTACAACCTTTGAGTTCTACATGGACGAGGAACATCTTGTAAAAACTTCAGCCTTTCAGCTTTTCTGGTTCCCGAGTTAGAAATTTTCCCGCCGAAACTTCCACGCGCTAGTATGCAAGGCCCAGACGTGCGTTATGTTTGGTGCCGCGGTTCTGAGGTGGCACTTGGCCGGGGAACTCGCTGGCAAAATTTTGGTGCAAGAGCTTGCTTGGTCGCCGAGATGAAATACCCGGACAGACATACACACACACACACACCCACACACACACACACACATACATACACGAACAAGCAAAGCCACGCACACCATGGGTCGTCACGATATGCGTTTTTTGCATTTATATATGTGCAAAAACACATAAAAAGCAACTAGCAACGCGCCGGGATTGTCAATGTGTTCATGCGTTTTTGCTCGAACCTTGAAGCTATCAGATTTTTAAAAGTAAGGATGCTTTCCAGTTTAACATGTGCACTCATGCTGGCAACGTTTTTGCTTCCTGTTGCATGTAGGGAGAATGGAGGTCAGTTGAGACGACAGTGCTGGCATAGGCCGCGTGGAAGCTGGTCCTCAAGTGTGTTTGATTACAATAAATTTGGTATGAAGCTGTCGTCGGCAGAAATTCGCCTATCATTAAGATAAACTGTTGCATTTGTGAAAATTGATTTTATGCTTACAGACTTTCATATAGGCAGTAAACTTTCTTACAAAATTTTGGCTTCTTGCTCAGTCCTGTTGCACAGTAAATGGATGCTAAAGCTGAAATTATACTTGCGCACAACCCGAGATCTAAGCTCAGTTTAAAATCTCCAAATCGCACACAGGCATAGAAAATTGTTGAAAATTTACAGTTTCCTAAATTGCGCGATTTCGGAAATCGATATCTGGCTACAAATACTTTCGGCGTGCCTGACGTGTAATGCAGATGCAATCCACACTCAATATAGGTGTAGGAGTTTTCCCAGCTTGGACTACAAATATTTTCGCAAAAATTTCATTTATCCTTTTGTGGCTAATTTTCGAGTTTGACACGAGGCGGGCAACGAACCTTACCGTATCCGTATGCGCGATGTGGGCGTATATTTTAGCTGAATTTGAAATCCTTAGCTCGGACATGGACGGGAATCATTCCTGCAAAGCTTCAGCTTCGTACGCTGGCGATTTTCGAAATTGCCCACTGCCAAAAAATTTAGTTTTTTTCGAAGTCCGTACGTGATAACCAAGCATACATGCACGATAATTTCAAAATGAGTGGGTCGTACATCTGTTGGGGATATGCTCCACAATTTTTAGCCTCCAAGCTTCTCCGGTTCTTAAATTGAAGGTGGGTGATACAGCTCACACACACAGACACAAACACACATGCATACATACATACATATATACATACATACATACATACATACATACATACATACATACATACATACAAACACACACACATACATGCATACACACACAAAACCGACGACTTCTTAACAATATGTGTTTTTGCTCATCTTAGTAATGTCAAAGTGCT